GGTAATCCGAGCAGGTCATCCAAAACCTGTAACTGTCGTCAATGTTGGGTTCTCGCGCTGCCTGAACGCAGTTCCCAGGCCACACTTTGGATGCAACAAGGAAGTTTTTGGGCTCCTCAGGTCGCCGAGGTGCTGCGACAGGGCGCCGAAGGCGCCGACGACGACGGCCAGGCCGAGGCGCGGGCGCGGAGCTTGCTGATGTTCAGGCCCAGCGAAAGGGAGTTCACATGGCAGAGCTCGGGGGGCGCACAGCGTGCGCCGCTCGGGGTTCACCCTGACGCACGCGTCCTACCTGACCTCCACGCTGTCGCAGGGCCAGACGCTGCGCAAGGGCGTCACCATCGACTGCGCGAGAGACGAGGACGTTGGCCGCACGGGCATGTCGGACGAGCAGTGGTGGCTGCACCTCTACGTCATGTTCTCCCGCGCCACGTGCATGCGGAACATGCTGATCCTGCGGCCGCCGCCGCGAGAGTTCCTGGAGTGCGGGCCGCCGGCGTCCCTGCGGAAGGCGCTCCTGGAGTTCGACAAGAGAGCGGTTTTGTCCAGGGCGGAGGCGAAGCGGCTCGCGGCAGAGCTGGGCTTCGTGCTGCCTTCCGCCTGAGCGCGGCTGCGCCTCGCTCGAAGCCCGCGGGGTTGTCCCAACGGCTTGGTCTTGCGCGCCAACGGCTCGCGGGGTTGTCCCGACAGCCTGGCCCGCGGGGTTGTCCCAACGGCTGCGCGACGTGACCTGTAGAGAACGCGCTTGTGCTGGCCGTGGCGGCGACGGCGCCGAGGAACATCGACATGCGCGCTCATGCAACAGGATGGGGAGGAGGTGGCGGGGCGCGGAACAAACAGGGGGGCGAGGATGGGGACAACGTAAGGAGTGGAAGGGGGGCCCGCGCCAAGGCGAGAGGAAATATACGCAGAAGAGACAGCCAGGACGCATCACCAACCACGAGGACGACGGTGATGGCTTTTTCCAGATTCGCCCAGAGGATTCTTATGTGGGGTTCTTCCGTCGGAGTAATTGTAATACTTACATACATAGATTACATACCGCATACAAACAAGCATGAATACGATAAATACATTCAACACCATACTACTTTACTTTGCATTACTACACACATACAGACAGGACAGTTCAGACATACATACATACATTATGCATGATTACAATTGCGATACGTAACTACATACATACATGCATACATGCTTACATACATATATACATTGTATACATACATACATGCATGGCTACATACATACATGCATACATGCATGCATGCTTGCATGCATGCATGCATACCATATACACATAATATATATTTATATATATTTTATATATATATATATGGTATGTCTCTACGTGTGTATCACAACTTCTATACTACACATACTTTACATACCATACATGATGCATGCATTGCATAATGCATACATACATACAAAATACTATAGTACACACTCATGCATGCATTGCATGCAGGGGGGCGGAAGATGGTTGAATAAAGGAAAGGGGAAATGCATGCATGCATGCATACATACACACATACATACCTACATACATGCATGCATGCGTGCATGCATGCATGCATGCATGATACATACATACATACATACATGCATACATACATATAAGGACCACCCTTCCAGCTCTTTTTGCGGGGTCTTCTCCTTGGAAAGCCTCCTGGGGGCCTCGCGCAAGCTTTCAGGGCTTTTGGGGGGTCTCCCGGAGGCCTCCTGGGCACCTGCTGGGGGCCTCTTGGGGCTTTCTCGGGCCACCCTGCTTCCAACCGCGGTCTCCCTAAACGACCGGGTCACGCTTTGGAATGCTTCGGGGGGCGTATAAGGGGCCATCTTGGGCCGTCATGGGGCTCTCTCCAGGCCATCTTGGGGCCCTGTTGGGCCGTTTTGGGGCTCTCTTGGTGCCTGGGAACCCTTTTCGGAAAGTTTTGGGGCGATGCTCGGCGGTTTCGGATGCCCGGGAGACCGAAGAACAGAGCATCCTCCAAACCGCATGAGGAAAAACACGTGGGAAACAATTGTTCTCTGGCATTTCGAAAACATATTGGGGGTCTCTTCGGGTCATCTTCGGGCGTCTGGTGGGTGCCTGGGGCCTCTTGGGGACCTCGGGGGGCCGTTGGCCGCCCCCTGACCGATTAGGGCCCGTTGCCCAGGCTCAGCGCGGGCTTCCAGGAGCTCCGGAAACGTGCCCTCTGCCCAAAGCAGCACATGCTGCAGTCTGGCCGCGGAAGCAGTGGACACTGAGTCAATAACGAAGCCCTTTTTTAGTACCAGAAACGCATGCGTGCACGACAAGGGCCGAAGGAACATGCATGGAGGGACCTACCCGAACGTGCGACGTTCTGGTATGTTCAAGACGCGGCCCCCAGGAGTACTGACCGTTTCCCCGGGGCTGGGGCCGCCGAAACAAGGAACGCAGAATAAGGAACGAAGCCCCGCCAGCGTGCGCGAAAGAGGGCTAAAGGAACAGCCATGGAGGGACCCACCCAAACATGCGACGTCATGTTTTTTTGTTTTCAATACAGTCGTACCTAGGACAGAAGGACATCCTTCAAGAACATAAGACCCTCCACTGGACAAACTGGAGAACATTCGAGGACGCCCTCATCCAATTTGCAAAAGAGAACACCCGACAAAACACGAATGTCATTAGGGTGCCTTCCCCGAACCGACCTCAATCTTATACCTCGGTCCGACAGCACGCGTCCCCGGCAAAAAAAAAACGCGCACAGGCGCGCGTTTTCGGCGGCGAAGCTGGGAAAGAGTTGCGCGCGGCACGGGGGACGCAGGTGGCAAGAATTTCCTTGCCAGACCTTGCCATTCTGAGGAGTAAGTCCGCCATGGCGGCAAAAATCGATGCAAGTGCCCGTGAGTGCGGCGTGCGAATCTCATGGCCCAGTGACAACTTTTTGGCTCGCCACGCATAGCCTGGTGAGATCAAACCGATCAACCCACCGAGAAAGACGTTTCAACGCAAAGCACATGGGCGGTGACGGCCACGAGCCAATTTGGGCAGGGCGCGCGCTGCAAAGCAATGGCCGAGGGCCGCGACAGCGAGGCCGGCGAGGCCGCGCCGAAGCGTGGACAAAATATGCCTTGCGCCTTGCGTCGCAGTGAGTCGGAAATCAGTCGGCCCCTCGAGCATCACAGACCCGCGCCTCTCTGACGACTGCCTGCTGACGACTACCCGGCGCGGGGGCGCTCCGTGGCCTCCGCGGCGGTGCGCTCCTGGGCCTCGGTGGACCTTCTTCCTGCGTAGAACAACAGGTCCTCCTCCTGCTCCTCCTCCCCCTCCTCCTCCTCCTCCTCCTCCTCCTCCTCCTCCCCCCCCTCCCCCATCCTCCTCCTCCTCCTCCTCATGTGTCGGGCAAGACGGAAAGCGTTGGCACGCGCCGCAAGGTGGGCGCGACCAGGACCCCAGGCGAGCGGGCCTCGGAAGTTCGCGGCTGCAGGAAGAAGTAGCAAGGAAAAGGCCACGACGCCAAAGGCTAGCGAGGCCCCGCTGAAAAAAGTGGAAACGGCGACCTGTGCTGCGGTGGAGCCGGCAGCCAGCCAGCCCCTCATGCCACAACGGTCGAGCCTCCTTTAGTGGGCTTGTTTTCTACCACCACCACCACCACCACCG